TCACTAAAGTAGCATTATATTCTCATAACTACAGGCCCATAACTCTGGATAACTGAACGTAACGGAAATGTAGAACGAGCTCCAAAAGGTGGGAGGCAGCAAGGCAAATAAGTGTCTAGCCTGTCAGGGAAACACAACCATTCGACCAACACGAGTGCATGAGTCCTTACACTAGGACTTTTTTTTTGGCACCACAGCTCACTAAAGCACAGAGAAGAAGAAGGAGGCAGAAATGAGACACTGTGAAAGCCTATTCCTTAAAACCCCCAAGAATAGCAGTGGAAGAGAAACGCCTATTTCACCTGTTAAATGCAGAGCTAAAAATGATATGTTGAGACACAGCCAGAAGTAAATTGTTCAAACTGTAAAGTGTCAGTCATGGGTGTACAGCCTTTAAGAGATGCAAAAATTGTAATATTTGACTAATTCCATGAAAATGTAATATTTACTAACTGAGTTCCTGTCCAGCCTAACAAGGGACAACAAGAAGGCTAAACTAAGCATGGACATTAAACTAACGTCACTTGTCCACAAGTCAGCTGCTGATTTAACCCAATACAGTGTAGCATGACATGAGTTAAAATAGCTGCAGTAATGCTATATTTGAAAGAAACGCACAAAAACGGTTGGCTGCAAAACTGAGAATATGTGCTGACTAGTTGATTTGTGCATCTCTGCAGAAAAATCACATCTCTCTCTCTTTTTTTCTCTTTGAAATCTAACTACACTTTGACCTAAGCTATTTTGTTGTTTCTGCCTAGCATGCGGTGACTGAGGACTGAGGCAAAGTGTGTCCAGTGGTGGCAGCAGCAACAGCAGGAGGTGGAGGAGGAGGAGAAGGTCCTAGTTTTAAGGAAGGATGAAGAGCCCAGTACACAGATGCAGGGATGTGGAGCACGGGCGTGGGCAGGTGGGAAATGGGGCAGGACTCAGCTGCCTGCAGTCGGAGCAGCACATCCCCATCCCCAAAGATGTCATCACTTCCTACTCTGCCTCAGCCATGTGGTTCATCCGGGACGCCTGCGGCATCGTGTGTGCCATCATAACCTGGCTGCTGGTTTTTTATGCTGAGTTTGTGGTGCTGTTTGTGCTGCTGGTGCCCTCCAAGAGTCTCACCTACAGCATTGTGAATGGGACCCTGTTCAACTCGCTGGCCTTCCTGGCCCTCGCTTCACACCTCAGGGCCATGTGCACTGACCCTGTAAGTCAGGATTTGGAGTTTCACCAAAGCTAGCAGTCTGATTAGTCCACATCACGCTGGAGGTGTTGTTGCACAATATATATTTTTTTAAGTCTTTTGTTTCCACTAGGGGGCAGTGCCAAAAGGAAACGCTACCAAGGAGTACATAGAAAGCCTGCAGCTCAAACCTGGGCAGGTGGTCTACAAATGTCCCAAGTGCAGCAGCATCAAGCCTGACCGAGCACACCACTGCAGGTAAGTAAAAAAAAAAACATAATTCCTCACTGTGACAGTGATTTACTTTTTTGACTTACTCATCGCTGTGTTTACAGCTGCTGTGTGTTGTTTGGTTAATCATCAAAATTATAGTATCTACTTCTGCCTTACAGTGTTTGCAAACGCTGCATTAGAAAGATGGACCACCACTGCCCCTGGGTCAATAACTGTGTTGGGGAGAACAACCAAAAGTATTTTGTGCTTTTCACAGTAAGTTTGTCATGATAGACATTTCTTAATAATGCACGTCCAGTCAACTGTAGTTGCCACAGACGTACAGCAGGAGGTTCCATTTACAAGCACAGTGTGGCCTAACAATATATTACATAAACCACATGACTTTTGAATTGTTTTGTTTTCCTTGTCTCAAATTGATCACCTTTCAGTGAAGTCTAATGGTCGAAGATCATCTAAAAGGTTGCTAGCTACCTGGACCATGGTTTCTGTTGTCCTGCAGCAGCATAGAGTGAATGCAGTTCCATTGATTTCAATTGCTCTCCACTGTGTCATTTCTGTTCCTCATTGCTCTTTATTCCAGATGTATATTGCACTCGTTTCTCTCCATGCTCTGGTCATGGTGGTCTTCCATTTCCTTAATTGCTTTGAAGAGGATTGGACATGTAAGTGGGGTTTTTTTAATTATCTAAAGTGTTTCTGATCTGATGGGCTGATAACTGTCAAGGCTGATACAAACTTCAATTTCCAAGGTTGGTGTCACACTTGCTAAGTGTTGTAGGAATTTGTCAAAAATAATACAGGAACAGCACAGTGAGAATGTTAGAGGTTATGAGTCATTTGTGGAGGAAATAGAGTTGTTGCTGTCTAAAAAAGATTGCAATATTTTAGCTAATCGATATTTTCTACCAATGAGAACAACAGTTGATCTTCTCAGTTGTAAAGAAACGGCTGTAAAAACTCCCAAACCAGGACTGTGAGGTTTCTCTTACTAGAAAAGTGAATGCTTTATTCTTGCTGGAGTACAGTATCGGCCTTAACTGTTCTGTGAAGCTCCTCATTTCACTATAGCGACTGTAGTTCCTTAGCTTAGTTCCTCACAGGATCATCTTCTCTGCCCTCTCCTCCTTCTCCTCTTCCTCCTCCTCCTACTCTAGTGTGCAGCTCCTTCTCTCCCCCAGTAACTGTCATCCTCCTCATACTCCTGTGCTTTGAGGGTCTCCTCTTCCTCATCTTCACCTCCGTGATGTTTGGCACCCAAGTCCACTCCATTTGTACCGACGAAACAGTAAGTAACCCATTACAGTGACCAACAGTCCTTCTCCTAACCCTTTAACTCTTTTAACCCTTTCTTCCTCTTTGAGATGTTCTACCTGCTGCTTCCACCCTTTGCTATTTGAACACCGGGTTCACTAGAGTCTAAAACTCCACAATCTAAAGCCTGGCTTACACAACACAGTTCTCAACCTGATAACTGTTGCTTTTTGCTGGTAACAGTTCATCAGCACAGATTCTGTACTTACTAAATGTGATGTTTTTAAACGCATTCAAAGTGATGTGGCATTTGACATTTTGTCACCTTAGGGTTTACAGCTTGAATCCTGCGTATTAAAGCTTTGTCACAGCTGTTTGAGGCACTAAGATGCTGCCTTTGTTTGTGTGTGATGGCCCTAGAGTTGTGAGAGGCACATGCCTTTTCATGGTGTTGCTTCTTGCAGCAACTTCCATGTTGACGTCAATTATTCCTTGATGGCAGATTAAAAATCATACAATTATTTTATATCTCCCATCAACAACTACAAAAAAAAATCAAAGACATTTATTTTGTTCATTGCAGTGTTAGAGGGGTTAAATGGCCGCACAGTGCATAATGCATGAAAAAATACAACCCCGTCTTATCTGCCATGTATTTATAACACATTTTAGTACGATCAGACTAAATATTTTCCAAGGAACTAAAAAGCCTTAAGTGGCTCAGCTGGGTCAGGGTTCAAACCCTTGGCCAGGACAAATAATCAGTAAAGGACTCCGTGTCATCCAATACCATTTTTTTTGCACAGCCTGTTGAGTTTCAGTCCTTTTTATCATAGACTTCAGTGGCTTGTTCTTTGTGATTTGCTGACAGGGCGACAGGATCACACAAACTGAAGTGTGGTTGTCTCTCGTTTTCAGGGAATAGAGCAGTTGAAAAAGGAAGAGAGAAGATGGGCTAAAAAAACTAAATGGATGAACATGAGGGCGGTGTTTGGACACCCGTTCTCCTTGTTGTGGTTTAGTCCCTTCTCCACCCCTGACCATGGCAAGGCTGAGACATATCAGTATGTGGTATGAGAGCTCAGCGCAGGGAAGGAAGCATTTGGGTCAGAACCACTGAACGGACCCGTGACCCATTTCTTTGGGAGACTTGATTTTACTTAACCCCAACCCCGACTCCTGCGCCCACTGTAGCATTCCACTTTTTGTGTTGCCAAATTGTGCCATGTTCATTTTTGTGTTGCACGGTTTAGAAGCAAAGAAGAACTTGAGTTTTTTGTCTTCTGTTTTGCCAACACTGTGATGAATATGGGTTTTCTGTACTACATTATTCCTGTTATAGCAGAAGCATCTCTGTTTATGCCGTGTTCCTAACTCCAGGGATTGTTTGATGGACTGAATTACAGAACATCACATTTTATCCCAGTGGTTACATTTCATCTGCCACTTTAGTAAAATAGAGATCACTCTTTAGTGCTGCATCCAGTGAACAAACAGCCTCACAGTCAGTCTAAGGTATTATTTTTTACCTGCTCCAGACATCCCAGTAGTCTTCCACTGAAAGAGAAGAAAACGCAGCATTACTTTGTCAAAGCAAAACGTTCTAAAATGTATAAAATGTAATCTAAATATGTATTTAGATGCGGCACAAAGTGGCTTTTTGTAATTTAAGGTGAACTGACCTTTAAATGTGAAATACCACCTTAAAAGTCTTTTCCTCGAAGAATCATCAACAAAGCATTTCACGCCTCACATATGCAGAATGTGCAGGCAGACACAGAAAAGTGTGTGACCCCGGTGTTTACCATGTAAAGACTTTCTTCTTCTTCTTCTTCTGTGAACGTCTCTGTGCTCTATTTCTCCTTAAAATCTGAGTGCACGGTGCAGATGAAGGCTGGTTGACAAATGTATGTATGAATGGACCAGTTGCAGATGCTGGGATCTTTCCTTTTCCCTTTTTATGCAGACATTTTATTTATTTATTTTTCTTAAATATTATATGAAGATGTTTTCAGCTCATGCACAGAGAATAAATACTTCTCCGTTGCTCTTCACCAGTCTGTTGGCGTTTACTTTTCCCATTTGTTTGTTTTACTCAAAAGCAAAAGGTTGGGGAAAACAAAATGAAACCTACT